CCCTTCAAGTTGGGGTTTAAGCTCCCTCTCCCAATGCTGGTGGTTGATTTCTGTCGTTATTACGGGGTGTGCCCGGGTCAGCTTGCGCCTTCTCTTTACAAATTGCTAGCTATGTTTATCAAATATGCAGAACTGGCCGGTAGGGAGGTCACGCTGCAGCATGTGCTTAGTCTCTACGCTCCGCAGAGGGTTCACGGTACCATGATTCAAGCGTGCCCTCGTGGGTCGAGGAGCCTGACTGCAAAACTGGATGACGAGGTCGATCCTCACCCTTTTGAGCACTTCTTCTACATCAGGACTGAACATTTAGTGGCGTGCTCTGCTGGGTTCCCAGAGGCTTGGAATCATGCACGTAAGTTCTTTTGTCGTCGAATTCTTTTTTCTACCCCTCCTTACGTCTTGTGCTCGTAAGCGTTAACTCGTGTCAATTTTGTAGCCGAAAAATCGCCGCCGGCTCCATTAGCTGGGATTCGCGGATGGGTCGAGGCCGTGCTCCCCCATACGGCGTGGGAGCATGGGTAGACCTGTGGCAAAAATTGACTTCTTCTTCTGTTCCGCTTTGTTTCGACACTATTCCTCAACTTTGTTTTTCTGTGATCAGGGAGGGCACGCCGCGTCAGGGCCCCTCAGTTGGCCTTCCGTCGGCCGGGTGCAGTCGTTCGACTTACTGCGGCGCCTGTGTCGCGCTCAATACCGAGGGCGGCATCAGTTGAATCTTCAGCGGTTCCTTCTCCAGCACGGGCCGCGCTTCGGGACGAGGGGCCATCGGGGGTTGTGCGCCCTAGGGCAGAATCATCATCAGACGGGGAGGAGGAGAGACCCTTGATAAGGCGTAGGGTTGTGTTCACGCCGACTCCTCCTGTGGTAATCAATCTGGACTCCCCTCCGACGGATGCGGAGAGGGGTGCGGTCGCGGCGCCTGCTCTTGAGGGTGAACAGTCAATGGGGGTTGCCCTGGCTGGCTTAGGCCATGAGGATGTCGTCGCTTCGGCGACTCAGTCGGTGGTTCCAGTCGCTGAGACGGGAGGTAGTTACTCAGCGGCTGGTAATGTTGGTGAGTTAAGCACTCCTTTGGCGGCTGCGGCGGGAGATTCCACCTCGCCGGCGGCTGAAGGAGGAAGAGATGCTGTAGAGGGTGAGTACGAGTCTGAATCCGACTTGGACCACGACGACGTCCGTATGTTCCAGGAAGGCTTCACCAATTCAGCGGTGCGCGCAGAGGGGCGATCTCGCTTCATTGAGGTTCCCACGGAGTTGAACTTATTGCTCCAGGGGAGTAGCTTGGTCCCGCAGTTTGAGCTGCTGTGCTCGGAGGCCGAGAACGTGTCATTGAGGGGCGTCACGGATGTCGAACTGATGAACGAAGTGGCTGTGATGGGATTGAGGGTATGTAATATAATGTCGGTTCGCTTCTTCTTTGCCTTAGTTTGAACTTTATCTTAATCGTTGTCTTTGCTTTGCAGTCTTATTTGTTGGAGGTGGAGAGCATCCGTCGAGCCAACGTCCGTTCGGGGATATTTTTGCGGGCGCTGGAGAAATACAGCCGCTACCGTGATCGGTGCCGAGAGATGTGCATACGCTTGAGAGAGAAAAAAGAGACAACAATACCCAAATTATGGGCAAGAGGAACACCATTGTAAGGCTCTGAACCTCTTCATGGAGAGGCAGACTGAACCAATATTATCAATAAAGGCTTCTAATGTTTCTCCCCCTAATTCTGAGTACTTATTTTCGTTTCCTTCATTTGGTCCAACGGATTATTACGGTTTGCTATGATTTTCCCGTAATTTATTTATAGTGTTTTATACTCATAAGGTATGTAATAACTTTTGAGTCAAACAAGGATGTTGAACAATTAAAAAAGAAGAAGCACACACATAAACCTAATTTCGTAGTCGTAAAGCATACTCGCTGGTAAATCATTCTTTGTCTATCTATACTAGAAGAGTTGAGTAACATCTAGGGGCCATTTGGTTAAAGGGATTAGGGGGTTATTCCAATGCAAAATTTAGGAGGGAATTAATTTGTATCTGTTTGGTTGTAGATAATAGCTAAAACTAAGATAAAATTTATAACAAAATTATGAAATTATATCTATCACATATAGAAAGTAAAATTATTTATTCTGATTGTAATTTTAGGATTATAATCCTGGATAACCTGATTTTGAACAAAGAAATTTGCACGAATAATTCTCGTGGTCCGTGTCTTACCAAAATATGAAAACTTAATCATTCAGTTTGTACCAACAATTACTTCCAAACATGTTACTCATGATTGACCACAAACACACCAACTCTTGGGTACATGACCGGAAAGACGTTCAGTTCTATTGAATGTCGTTTTTATTGAAAAATTAGACTATACATATAAGTAAAAATATTTATTTACGTATACATCAATATCATTGAATCCATTTGACATTGGTCAATATTTTTACACCACCAAAAATAACAACCCAGTGAAATCCTACTAGTGGGGTCTGGGGAGGGTAGTGTATACGCAGACCTTACCCCTACCCCGAAATGGTAGAAAGACTGTTTCCGAAAGACCCTCGGCTCAAGAGAACAAAAAGACAAATGTAGACAATATTAGTATCACCACAGAAATCATAAGAAAAATAGGAACAACATGAAATCTGGAAGAAAGATGCAAAACAAAACCGATAGCTAGTAAATAGGTCCTGCACGGTAAAATAGGAAGACACAACATTGTCACTAGCTATCTTAGACAAAAACATTGGTAAATATTTATAATTTGTCGAAATGATGATTTAAAAATTGCTTTATTGTATATATTTAATCTCATTTTGGGCACTTTAGCATCTTTTCTGAATCTCATTATTAAAATTTCTGACTCCACCACTGCTCGTTCTACTCTCCTTCTCCTCTCTGGCTATCTTCTATTGAGATCAATTATTATGGCAAAGTGTTTTCTTTGTCACTTGTTCTGTCATACACCAAGTAAGCCAAATTTCAAAAGCAATCTGCCTGTAGAAAATCTCAGTACCAGTAAATGACTATACTACAATCCAAACTTATTTCAAACTATAGCTTATTTAATAAAGTAAAAGAAAAAAGTGTATATTTGATCTGAGGGGCTCAAAAATTGATATGCATGAAATACTGACAGAATACACAGAACATAGTGGAGTGTGTGTGTGTGTACGTCTGTGGTCCTGGTCACAGCAGTAATATTTCTAAACTAGTTGGTTTGCAAACGTTCCAATGTGTCTATTTTTTTCTTTTCTTTAAGTATTTTTTATAAAAATTAAAATCAAGAATATGATTTTGTTTGTTTGGAAACTGTCCTTTTGAAAACAACTCGACAATTTGCTACACACTAAAAGACATTCCAAAAGGGACAACACAGTACCTGACACGTGGCAGATACCCAGCTAATTCATCCAAATTCTCCGTACCCTCAGGCCTCAGGTAGTCAGGTGAACCAAATTACATAGTAATCTGAATTCAACTTTGCTCCGTATGATTTATATTAGGCTACATAAGACCTTAAAGTTTGCATAAAGAGAAGGGGGGAAGAAAGATTAAAGCATAATAAAAGACATTTTAAGTAGAATAATTTATTAATCGTGACATTTGACTATATTATTTAGATACTACTTTTACCGTAGTCTGTAAACATCAACGTCCAGTAAAAGAGGTAATCCATTCTCTAAAAATATAAAACAAAGCCAAAAAGTGTTCCAATGTGCAAAGTTGGAGGGTCTTTTGCTAATAAACGTAAAATAAACGAAGATGAAAACATAATTGTAGTAACTAGTATCTAAACGCTATTTCGAAAATAAAATAAAAATTATGTCATGTCACATTTAGAAATATCACCATTACATCCTAAATGGAAAACAAAATATATAGAAAGACGAGGCTATATTGTATCATACACTAGTTTAGGACGGGAGGTCAATAGCAATAATAATAGCTTGACGAGATCGGTTGGTAATGAGCCATTTCCACCTAAAGCTTATTACTCTAATGAGCCGACGGATTTAATTGAACCCATAATTTTTGACGCGGTGTAAAACTTTATATTTAAAATTCATTTAAATTACAGAAATAATAGATATGAACCCATAAGTTTAAAAATATAATGAGTTCAATGCTAAAAACTTTGAAAGTTGAGCCTATAAGATTTTAAATCCTGGATCCGACTCTGACTTTGTCTATTTAGAAAATAAAATCATGCATTTGCCTTATTTTCTGTATGAGAATAACTTATTTTATGTATTTGGAACAAGCCATGTTTTTGACCCTTGAAAAAGTTTGTAATGATTCGACGATTGGTTATCTTTGATCTTATGAATTGAAGATGGCAGGCTTTGTATGTTCCATCTGCATTTAGCACAAAACAAGCAAATTAAAGACGAATTTGGCTAAGATAGTTAGATGGCAGACTTTCTACCGTGCATCTGCATTTAGCATAAAACTAGCAAATCACAGACGATTTTGGCTAAGCAAAGCGAGAATTGGGAAAAAGCTCTTTGCCTCTAGGAAGGACAGGAGGTGTATAATTGTATATACGAAAAAAACAATATTATTCTGTTAAATGATATAAGGGTAGTACTGTAATTTCACCTGTTAAAGTTAGTTATTGGTGATTCGTTAGTTAGTTAAGTTGTTGATTATATTAGTTGTTAAGAGATCAGTTAATCACTGTGTATAAATACTCGAACGTATACACACAGAAGATAGTTTTTTTGAGTAACGAAAAATACTTTCTCTTCCTCTCTATCATCTCGCTCTGTATCTCTCTTCTCTACTCTTTCTTCCTCTCAATTTACAACATGGTATCAGAGCTTATGCTTGTAACTTCGAAGCTCATGATCTGAGATTCTTCTTCCGCATTCTTTCTCTGAAATTCTTGTTCTGTATGTTACAATCGAGTGAAAAATTCTTGTTCTGAAACTCTTTTCTTGTTCTAAAACTCTGCATGTTCAAATTGGGTGTTGAATTCTTGATAAAGAATCAAAGAAATCGAAAATGGCGATAAACAAAGGAGTACCAAATCTGAATTCTGGGCTAAATACTAGAAATCAAGTAAATCTTGCAACTGGGATTGATTACAATCATCCCCTTTTCCTTTCCCCTGCTGATGTTAGTGGAACTCAAATCATTTCATTTCAATTAACATGTATTGAAAACTATTCAATTTGGAATAGATCTATGAGAGTTGCTTTGTTAGGTAGGAATAAACTTGGCATGGTTGATGCATGGTACATGCAGTAAGGATAAGTTCCCAGATTTGATGGGAAATCACTAGGAACGAGTAAATGCCATTGTTCTATCTTGGCTGATGAACTCTGTGGCAAAAGGCCTTCTTGGAGGCATTATGTATGCCTCCAGTGCTCAAACTGTTTGGGAAGACTTAGCTGAAAGGTTCAATAAAGTTGATGGCTCAAGAACCTTCAATTTACATAAAGAAATAGCCACCTTAACTCAAGGGTCTGCATCTGTCTCAGTATATTTTTCAAAACTTAAAGATCTTTGGGAAGAATTTGAGGCTTTGGTTCCTGCACCTGGGTGTGACTGTCCTAAATCAAGGGATTTTGTTACCTATCTACAGAAGTTAAGGCTATACCAGTTTCTAATGGGGCTAAATGAGTCCTATTCACAAGCTCGGAGTCAAATACTTATGAAGACTCCTTTACCTACTGTGAATCAAGCCTATGCCTTAATAGTGAGTGATGAGAGTCAAAAATCTGTAGCAGCTAATTCTGGGATTCTTGGAGCCAATCCTGTAGGAAATTTTGAAGTTGCAATGTATACTAGACATGGTACAGGTGGTCAAGGCCAAAGGTTCAAGAAAAACTTCAATGTTCGATGTGATTATTGCAAGATGAAAGGCCATATGAAAGAAAACTGTTATAAACTTGTTGGATATACTCAAGATCTCAGACAAAAGAAGCGAGGAGGATATAATGCAGCTTATAATGTCAACATTCTGAATGAGAATGTTGATAATCAAAATCAGAATTCTGATGTGCCTACTGGTGCATATGGCAAGAATGCTAGTGTTTTAAATCAGTCTACCTGTGGAAGTCAGATGTCTTACGGTCAAGGATTGGAACCAGTTGCAAATCAACTAGGAAATTACACATTCTCAAAAGATCAATATGATCAGATTGTGCAGCTGTTGAACAAAGGAGTAATCTCAACAGGCAGTAACAATGAAGATTCAACTGCCAATGCAACAGGTACAGATACTGATACAACATTGTTGGTTTCAAATGGCTCACAGGAATGGATCATAGACACTGGTGCAACAAATCACATGGTGTCTGATACTAATCTTCTAAATGAGTCTACTATAGTTCAGACAACCAAACCTAAGAAAGTTTTGTTGCCTAATGGAGATGTGTCACTAGTTACACATACAGGGGCAAGCTCAATTTCTGATAAGATCACTATATCTAATGTCTTTCATGTGCCTCAATTTAAACATAATCTTCTTTTAGTTTCAAAAATGACAAAAGAACTATAGTGTGCTGCAATATTTTTCCCTGATTTTTGTGTTTTTCAGGATCTCTTCACTGGGAAGGTGAGGGAGATTGGTAAAGAAGTAAGAGGACTATACATACTACGTGTCAGATTGGCAAGGAGTAGGCAAAGGGCTGAGTATGCTGCAAAGGGATTAACTGGAGGAGAAGCAAATCAGATCAATGTGGAATTATTGCCTCAAAGATTTGGACATGTGTTTGTTATAGTAATGAAGAAAGTGTTGTCTATTAGTATACAAAATATCAGAGATAAAATAGATATATGCACAATCTGTCCCTGTGCTAAACAAACTAGATTGCAATTTCCCTCTAGTGATACGAGAAGCATGTACTGTTTTGATTTGATTCATGTAGACCTATGGGGTCCGTACATAATAGCTACATTTGATGATAATAAGTACTTTCTTACAGTTGTAGATGACTACAGTAGAATGACATGAATGTTTCTTCTCAAACAAAAATCAGATGTATATCAATGCTTACAACATTTCTTCAGTTTTGTTAAGACTCAATTTAATAAGGTCATCAAGGTTATTAGAACAGACAATGGCACAGAATTTGTAAATTCCTTGTGTGAGCAATTATTCAAAAACCTTGGGATGATTCATCATAGATCTTGTGCTTACACTCCTCAGCAGAATGGAGTAGCAAAAAGAAAGCACAGACACATTTTAGAAATAACAAGAGCTATAAGACTGCAAGCTAATATTCCCATAAGGTTCTGGGGTCACTGCATTCTGGCTGCAGTATACATTCTTAACAGGTTACCTAGCTCAGTAATTGCAAACATATCTCCTTATGAAAGGCTGCATAACATGAAACCCTCTCTAAATCACTTAAGAGTGATAGGCTGCCTATGTTATGCTAAAGTAGTTCAGGAACAGGGCAAGCTAATGTCTAGAACAAGGGTATCTGTGCATATGGGATATTCAGAAGTTCATAAAGGCTATGTTCTATATGATCTAGGGAATAGGTCATTCTTCATCAACAGAGATGTAATATTCAAGGAAAATATCTTTCCATTTAAAAGAACTAATTCTTCTTCAATACCTATATTTATAGACACTACAACAAATGTAGGGTCATACATGGACAATTCAGAAATTTTTTTTGAACAAAGAGTTGATACACAAGCTGATGCAGGTCACAATGGTGATAATTCAGGGAATTCATCTACAGCTAATGACATTACAGAAGAGAACTACAATTCTGAGTCAATGCATGACTTTCAAATAATACAACTGAGGGGGAGGCGCAGACATATCAGAACAACCATAGCACAACTGATGGGGAGTTACAAGCACAACAGGACTATTAGAACATGTCTACTGTAGCCCCTCATATCAGAAGTCAAGCGAGTTCAAATCAACTCACTATCAGAAAGTCCACCAGAGATAAACAACCACCAGTATGGTTGAAAGATTTTGTTTCTCTAAATATTCATCAAGAGATACCTTATGCCTTAAATAAATATATAAGGTATGATCATCTATCTTCTAAATATCAAGCATGTATTGTTGCCTTCTCATCAACTACTGAACCAACTTCATATGCTGAAGCAAGTAAAGATCCAAGATGGATACAAGCCATGAAAGAAGAAATAAAAGCTCTCGAAGGTAATAATACATGGACAATAGTTACATTACCAGAAGGTAAGAAACCTATAGGATGCAAGTGGATATATAAAATCAAATACAAGGCATCAAGAGAGATAGAAAGATTTAAAGCTAGATTGGTTGCAAAAGGTTATAGTCAACTAGAAGGAATTGACTATCAAGAAACATTCTTACCAGTTGTAAAAATGGTGATTGTTAGAACAATATTGGCTCTGGCAGCAGCTAAGCAATGACATATACATCAAATGGATGTATACAATGCCTTCTTACAAGATGATCTATTTGATGAAATCTACATGGATTTACCACAAGGATTTAGGAGTCAGGGGGAGAAGAGAGTATGCAGACTCACTAAATCCTTATATGGACTAAAACAAGCTCCTAGGCAATGGAACTTGAAATTATCTGAAGCACTTCTGAACAACTTACAGTTTAAACAAAGTCAGTTTGATCATTCCTTATACATAAGGAAAATAGAAGAAGGTATGGTGTTAGTTCTGATCTATGTTGATGATATGCTAATTATTGAAAGCAGTTTAAAGCCGATTCAGGACACAAAAACTTCTCTACAGAACATCTTCAAAATGGAAGACTTGGGAGAGTTAAGGTACTTTCTGGGATTAGGATTTGCTAGGTCCAACAAAGGTATTGTTATGCATCAGAGAAAATACACATTAGAGCTCATAGCAGAAGTTGGATTAACTACAGCAAAACCATCAACTACACCAATTGATATAAATACTAAACTTACAACAAAACAGTATGATGAGCACATCTCAAATGATGAAAGATCAGTTGAAGATCCTACAGTAGATCAGACAGCCTATCAAAGGTTAGTAGGTAAACTTTGTACCTAACTGTCACTAGACCAGATATAACTTATGGAGTTCAAACTCTAAGTCTGTTTCTTCAACAACCAAAGAAATCTCATATGGAAGCTGCCTTAAGAATTGTGAAGTATGTGAAAAATAATCCTGGACAAGGTATACTGTTATCAAGTCAATATAATACAACCATCACAGCACACTGTGATGCGGATTAGGCAGCTTGCCCAGTCACTAGGAGATCTGTCACAGGTTTTTTGATCAAGGTATGCAATTCTCTAGTGTCTTGGAAATACAAAAAGCAATCTACTATATCAAGAAGTTCAGAAGAAGCAGAGTACAGAAGCTTAGCTGCAACTGTAGCAGAATTGACATGGCTAGTGGGAATGTTAAAAGAAATTAATGCAGAAGTTAAATTGCCGGTAGACATATTTACTGATAGCAAAGCAGCTATTCAGATTGTTGCTAATCCCGTTTACCATGAGAGAACCAAACATATAGAGATCGATTGTCATTTCATAAGGGGAAAAATTCAACAAGGTCTAGTTTGCACAAAGTATATACCTACCAGAGATCAACCTGCAGATTTGTTCACAAAAGGATTGAGTAAACTTCAACATGCATATCTGAGTTCCAAGTTAGGTATTTTTGATATTTTTGCACCACCTAACTTGAGGGGGAGTGCTAAATGATATAAAATGATATAAGGGTAGTACTGTAATTTCACCTGTTAAAGTTAGTTATTAGTGATTCGTTAGTTAGTTAAGTTGTTGATTAGATTAGTTGTTAAGAGATCAGTTAACCACTGTGTATAAATACTCGAATGTATACACACAGAAGATAGTTTTTTTGAGTAATGAAAAATACTTTCTCTTCCTCTCTATCATCTCGCTCTGTATCTCTCTTCTCTACACTTTTTTCCTCTCAATTTACAACATATTCACTCAATATTAACATCAAATTAATGAATACAATATGTGTCTCGTATCTACATTGTCACTTTACTGTGGTTAAATATTACTCTCTCCATCTTATTTCATTTCATGCAGTTTGATTTCATGGAGTTTATGATGTTTCTTTAAAACAAATTATGGTCTATAATTAGTCATAAAAGTTTGTGTGGCTGTGATAATCTCAATAAGGGTAAATGAGAAACTTAGAGTTAAATTATTTTTAAGTATAAAAAGTATTATCTTTTGGAGCAAATTAAAAAAGAAAATACATCACATAAATTAGGAGATAAAGGAATAGTATATTTAATTTTGTAGTAATTCTTAGTATTGTGTCTAAGAGACAAAGTTGAGTAGTGCTCCAGTCCAAGGAGTCAATGGATATATAATTACCCTGAAAAGGGAACAGGTCGTACCCTTTCCTGAGCTATCAGAATGTATATGACGCTATCAATGATATTCGCATGCATCCACCAAAATCCACATCCATTTAATGTCTCTCGTCCTCCTCTCTCCACCACTCTTTTTATTTCTTTGTATAATAATTATAAATTAACTCATACTTATTATAAGTGTGTCCCATATTAATAATGGAGCGAAGGGTGTATTAATTTATCGGGCAATGGAAGGATGTGAAAAAACTCTTAGGGTCATAAATGATTGATAGTAGCTCAAAAGTTTGGAACATGACAATGAAAACACAAAAATAAATTGACCAAACACCCTTGTACAAACATCTATATGGTGAACAGTTATACTGTAAATAGAATTCGAGGACTCCCTTGCCTAAGTAGAACAAACGAGAGAAGAAAAATGGCGTCACTTCCATGCATGTTTTTCTTTACAATTTCATTTTCTTTTGTTTTTGTCTTTTTGCTACAACTAGACAATCAGTTGAAATTTTGAGCATAGAGATTAATGTGAAGTTTCATGAACCCAACATGTCAACGACCAAACTAAATAAATGTGTACGTAGACAAAAAACAAGAACATCTAACGACTCCAATTTTAGTAATAGCACCTCATTATTAGTGACAGCATGTTTTTTGCACGTAAACTAGTTAAAGCTTCAATCAGTGTAAAATGATGGAAGTTTGGAAATAAAAGTTAGTCAAAGAATATAGAGCAGGGATTGTGTTAAATATTTCAGCCAACTAGGTTGCTAGGAGAATTAAATGGAGTAATACCGAAATCAAACATAAAGGTTGTGATGAAATAAACATATGATTCTTCCACCTAAAAATTTTGGGTTCCAGTTTTAGAAGAAAAAATTCTATAGCATAAAGCGATTTCTTCTTTATTGGGTGTTAAGTAATAGTGCTACTTCAAATTAGTAGGGCGCCAATATAAACACCGAAACTAATGAGAAACCAGAAAAAGAAGATCCAATGAAATGACCACAAAGATCCTTTGCATTTATTCCCCTCAACTCATAGCCACCAACCATTGCTTTTGAATTTATCTTGTCCTTGGGTTAGTTGCCCATTGAATTTTCTTGCAACTAAAAATGTAAATATTGCATCATTTTCACACTACTTTTCTTTTTTTATAAAACAACATTGAGAAAGACGAACGCAGACAACCTTAAGGGGCCGTTTGGTATGCGGATAAGGTGTGGATTAAATTTATATCATATTTGATTGACGGCATAAACTTATCATAGGATAAATTTATACCGTCAACCAAACATGATATAAATTTAATCCCAGCCTTATACAGGATATTCCACCTTTTCCCACCTTATTCCATTGAATTTGGGATTAAATTATCCCACCTCCCAGGAAGGATAAATTAGTTCAGAGATTATAATATCGAAATAATTTAGTCTGCATACCAAACAACCCCTAACTTTTTCATCGGAGAGGTTAATCCTGAAATTTAAATGGTAATCATTAGGGGTGTCAATGGTCGGTTCGGCCAGTTATTTATAAAATTTGTACCATACCAATATTTTGGTTATTCTATTATATATAAGCAAAATTAAACTTTTCGAAACCATCCCGATCATGTCGATTTCTCTTTGTTATCGGTACGGTTCGATTAATTTTTAGATTTTTTAATGTCATGTAAAAGTCACTAGTAGAAGAAGAATGCAATAATTAACATACGTACTTTTATAGAACTTATCCAAACTCTCTTGACATTTTTTCCGTTTAAAGAGTGATGAATTGAGACAATATGAAAAATGACCAAAGTATAGATCCACCAACTATTCTGCAATAGCATAAAAGAAACTAAGCATATACAAAGAAAATATAAATTACACGAGTGAAAAGATATTAAAGAAACTGAGACTCAAGAATAGATTAAATATTCAAAAAGATAAATTTGAATCATACGAAAGGAAACATATTCAATAAATTATAGTTTGCTACTCATAATCGCTAAAATATCTTGTGTCTTGCTAGTGAATATGCTCGGAATAATTTAATTTTAATAGGAGTAGCATAACAAGTTTGGGAATTAGGATTTTAAGTTTAATTACTTGTTGGCTTGTAACTGTTTTCATGGTTCGAAGGCCTAAGGAAAAATAATGCTTTACTATTTTAAACTTAATACATAAATATATTTTTTATATATAAATTTATTCAGTACGGTTCGGTATTTTTTTGGTTTATTTTCATAAAATAATAAAACCTACCCTAATTATCGGTACGATTATAAATTTATATAAAAAAACTACGATTTTATCAAAAGAAACCTAAAAATCGGTTTGTTACGGTACGGTTCGGTCGGTTTAATATACATTTGATGCCCCTAGTGATCATCCATAGAAACATAGAGCGTTTATTAGTTGCTCAATGCCTGCCTTCCATCTATACATAGTACTCTATTTACAGAAATCTAGTATACTTGTTCTTTCACTGGTGAGGCGGAAGCTTATACAGTAAGGTCAAATTCTCAATAATTATGAGTGGTAACATTACTTGTGTTTTCTACTTGCCCATTTTTTCAAAAAAAAAAAAAAAAGGGTTACTCTGGGTTGTCATTTATTATTCTATTTACAATATTTAAATTGAATTCAAGTTGTCATTCTTTCCGCTAATCAGTTTTTTTACTCTACTAAGAGGGTGTTTGGTTAAGCTTATAAGCTGGTCAAACCGGCTTATAAGCACTTTTTGGCTTATCTACGCGTTTGGTAAAATTAAAAGTACTTATAAGTTTAGTGTTTATAAGCCAAAAGCTATAAGTTGGTCTCCCCCAACTTATCAAATTTTAGCTTATAACCACTTTAGGTTTGACCAAATTTTTACTATTCTATCCCTAAAAAACTTTTTTTTTTAACCAAACTCTTCGTATACCCAGTTCTTCAGCTGCTTGTTATTAATTTCAGCACTCTTATCCAAACACGTAACTGCTTATTTTTTAAATCAGCTTCAGCACTTAAAAAGTGTTTTTCAGCACCTAATGCATATCAGCTACTCTAAATCAGCTAAGCCAAACGGGCTCTAATTTTACTAGTAAAAAGAAAGAATTTTTTTATCTAGATCACTTTGACAATAATTCACATTAAAAATAGAATAAAAACCACTAGATTACATTTAAAAGGAACTAAGTATAATTTTATACATCTAACATTTAACTACTACAGAAAAAAAATGTCAATTACCGGGTTTTGAACTTTAATCACATCGCATATGTGTTATCAACAGAAGAAAAAAAAAGAAAATACACCAAGATTCACCTTAGACTAGAGTGAAAGTAGTCAAGAGGTTGGGTTCTCAAAAAACGAAGAAGACGCATTTGGAGAAGAGAAACAGGCTGCGGCTGAAAAAACATTTCCTAAAATATTTCTAGATTTTGTCACGGTTCTGTTCTAGGGAAGAAGAAAAGAAACAAACAAAAGAAAGAAGACAGCCTATAGCCTATTGATTTTTGTAGATTTACATGAATATGGGGGAGGGTTTCTACATCCAAATTCAAACCATCTGGTGCCAGAAGTATGCATTTACTCCATATTAACATAGTTAAATTTTGCAACAATTGACACGGTGTCATATTTTCATAGTTCTTTTATAATAATATCGCCCGACCCCAGGGGCGGAGCTAGCCGTCCGCTAACGGGATTGGCCGAACCCAGTAGTTCTTGTGCAAATTCTGTATTTGTCTTGTGAAAATTTATGAAATATGTACAAATTATTGTTTTAGAACCCAGTAACTTTAAAGAACTAGAATCCCGAACCATAAGCTTCAAATCTTGGCTCCACCTCTGCCCCAACACTACTTGGAAATGCAGCGTAATTGTTACTCCCTCTGTTCCATTTTTTGTGAACCTATTTCCTTTTGGTCCGTTCCAAAAAGAATGACCCCTTTCTAAATTTGGTAACAAATTACCTTAAACTTACAATTCCACCCTTAACAAGAAATTTTTATAACGACACAAATACTCTGGGCTCCTTTTTGACTTGTTCAGGACCACAAATTCCAAAAATCTTCATTTTTTCTTAAACTCCATGCCCAGTCAAACGGGTTTACATAAATTGGAACGGAGGGAGTACTTATTATACAATTAGAACTATTTAACCAATCTGTAAGCTTTTAATTAAGTTTCTAAAGAAGTTTCAATATCAAAAAACAATTGAAGGTGAATGCATCATACGTAGAAGAAGTTTAATAATGCAATTTTTGCTGCTTAGTTAAAAAGGGAAATTGTTTGTTTTCATCCTAACTTATACATACGCATCTTTCAAAAACTTTAAATAAAGACCTAATACAACCCTAAAAACAACGTTAAGAAAGGTAAGCACAAAATAGGCACATGCAACCCCCATTACTTAGTTACCTAAAATACAAGTTAACCTAATAAAAGAATAAAGTTGCATCATTACAGTGGCAACTTACTAAAAAAAACTGCCATAAAATTGGAATGATACACAACGAATTAATTAGCACGGTCCAAACACTACTAAGAAAAACTAATCATCGAATTAAACCGACAAAATAAGCATCAATCACAAGCTAAAGCAAGTACATGCAACCAAAAGTTAGGTATAATTGTTACACTAGATTCAGAAAATCGATACTAAACTCCTGTATTAATTTGTTTCTCTATGTAAGATAGAAATATAGCTTCCATGATTAGCCCTATGTCAGATAAGGGAGAGAAAGAAGCCATTCTACAAAATTGGGAGGTAAAATTTTTCTTCCTAAATTGCCCTTAAACTATACTAAATTTCCAATTATAGTCCTTAATCCTACCTCCCAGCTTCCATTATCTCTCCCGATTAAACACAATTAGTAAAGTGGAGACCGCTGAGGCGTACCCTTCCTCCGGTTCATCATAGAAACCGACATCTCCGAACCCGGTCCACAAACAGGCTGAAACGCGGACCGGAAAGCCGAGAGGGTGCTGCGTTTCTTCCTTACAACCTCTGTTGTCGCCGTACATCCGACAGTCCGGCATCCTATTTCCCCGACGGCTCCACCGCTGCAACTCGAACCTGAATCAACCGGCTCAAGAATGGTGTCAGGAGTCATTTGACCATCGTCGAAACCCGGTTCAGACAGGGTCATGAAATCACACTTGTAGATATACTTGGAAAGTTTTCCCTCAGTTTTCAGTATGTGTTCAATCTGTAACCACACCAAGCCATATCCATGTTAATACATAAAAAATGGGTCGGTGAGAAAATTCAAAATAATTAACATAAAAAATTGTGGGTTTCCAATTTTGGTAATTTAAAAATTAAAAAACAGACCTTGCAGGAGATGGAACAAAAGAGATATGGGTCCTGAAGTCCTCTTTCACATATGATGCAGGTGTTACTTGAGCCTCTACACGGCCTTGTTTTTGGCCTGTGGTTTAAAAAAACCACTTTTGCACTGTTTGAAGTGTAAGACTGCAGACCAAAAAAGAGAGAAAATACTATTCAGATAAATAAAGAAAAAAGAAGAAATTCAAAAGGTGACAAAATTTAGGTCAAATACTCACTTGAACAAAAGCACAATCCAACAATTTCTCAGCATCACAAAGCCTAATAACATCATGATACACATACCTCCTAATCTGCAGTACAAAAAAAAACATCATTTTTTAAAAGCATGTACGTAATTCAACATGTTTTATAAAATTTAAGATAATTTTGTAAGAAAAAAATGGACCTGTAAAAGGCGGTGAGAACGATGAGGGGTCAAACAGTGAGGGCAAATACACTCACAACAGTCCAAACAGAAAACATTCTTTTCATTCTTCTTAGCATCTTCATGAATTATACAGGCGTTGAAGAATTTCTCTGTCAAAAGTGCAATAAGCCACTGAGGAAGTTGTGTAGATTCCAACTGCAGATAAAGATACCCAAAAAAAGAAAAAAAAAAGAATATATATTCAGTTGGTGAAATTGAAGTAGAGAATAAATCAAAGAAAGAGACCCCACCATGTTCATATGATGAATATTCCACTGTAAAGTTTTGGTGTTTTTGCTTCGATATATATGGTTTTTATGAAAAAGCTTTTCAAGAAAATAGTATGGAGAGTATTGTGTTTTGGTAGAAAGAGAATAAAAGGTAAGTGGGCTGAGGGGACAGAGGAAAAAAAGGAGGACGGCGCCTGCAAAACTAAGACTGGGGTATTACTGTTACCAATGAAATGAAAGAAGAAGAGTAGCCCCATGACCCGTTGGGCGCGCCCCGTGGCGTCCTAGCAAACCTCCCAATGCCTAGCGCCACGGACGGTCCCGTGGTCTTGGCCGCGCCAAGTGACAAGCGCGCAGGTATCTCTGTCGCCCCACCGATATCCCTCGCGAGCGCCAAGCCGCAGGCAGAAGCCAACAGCGTCGCGCGCGCAGACCGTGATGCCAAAGACACTGCTGCTAACAACGGACCTGCTGCTGCCTTATAGAAAACTAAGTCATTTTCATTGTAAATATAGAGTAGTTTTATTTCATGTACTTCCATTATGTTTCTCTAGCTTAGTCAAGTCTAGTCTTGTAACTTTGGATTATTTTTTTTAAGTACTATTAGGGGGATCAAGCAATCAAAACTTTCTAGCAAGCAAGCAATTCTCTGTACTGTTGTCTCTCCCCCTCGACACCGCGTTGCTTTTCTGTAATAGCTTTCATTAATGCAATCAAGCTTTCTTTCATTCTGAATTCTCATTTCTGTTCTCTCAATTGCTCTTGATATTGGTTTTCCCGTACGGCACTGACAATTTCGTCTAGCGTACGGAGGGGACCTCAGTTGGCGGACAACAACTGCACTGACATCAGTTGCCTAGCCTTATGTCGCCCTTCCAAGGAATCTCAGTAAGGCGCCGCGTAACAGTATATATGCATAAATATTGCTAATGGTGCAATAGTGAATTAGCTATAATTCTGTGTACTTGTACTATTTTGTGCAGTAGTACTATTCTTTTTCTTTGCAAAATTTCTTTACCAAAACTTGGGATTTTGATTTGGAACTAATACTAATTTTGCGTAAAATCTTGAACTGATAAGAGACAGCCCTAAGTCAATTTGAAAAACTTTGTCTCTTCTCAAAAAAAAGGAGGTGAAGAACTGAACAGCTCTAAAACTTCTGGTTTGTTTTGTTTTGATAATAATAATTAGCACTATTTACAAGTAAAACAGCTCGTATCCCAAAGGAACCTATAAGAAATGACCATTTGGTGGTTTATGTATGGTACGTTTCTTTGGCTAAGCACTAAGCAGAAGCAGTCCCTTCATCTTCTCTCTCTCTCTCTCCTTCTCAGCTAAATGACAAGACCAAAGATGGTGACTTTCTCACCTCTCGGTAAAAAACGATAAAAATTGACAGAATGAGGTTAAAGGAAAATTGGAAGACCATTTTTCCCTTTGGTGATAATTGGAGTGATAATTGTAGGTAAGCATGATCTTTTTGGGATATGATCAATTTTGGAGTTATGTTTATCACATAGGCAGACTATTCGTAGCCTGTTATTATTATTATCCTATTAAAAAATCTACAGTTATTTCTCAAATTTGAAGTAAAAAAAGATATTGGTAGACTAGTAGAAATTAAAGAACGTGTGAATTGTGGAAACTGCAATGCATTAGCTACAGAAAATAAAACGGGAAACAATTCGCAAAGCGGCATTCAGAAGTCACATTTGACTTCCATTGTGTATCAAGTAGCAAAATTTTAAGATTTTGTGAATCACTCATAGATGTTGTATGTGCAATTTCTGATCATTTTACTATCCCTCCTGCCCAATTTATGGGGCAGAGTTCGAATTTTGTGAGTCAAATAAAAAAAAATAGTGTTATTTATTAATATGCTTTTTATATATTTTGAATTGGCTTATACTCTTTACGTAGTTTTAAAATATGTAAATTTTATTTCAATAATCTAAACAACAACAACAACCCAGTAAAATCCCACATGTGAGGGGTCTGGGGAGGGGAGTGTGTACGCAAATCTTACATCTATCCCAATGGAGTAGAGAGACTGTTACTGATAGACACTCGGCTCAAAAAAACGACCAAGACAAAAAGACACAATATATCAGTACCATCAACAGAAGCCATAGAAATAATAACAGTATCATAAGAACCATAAAATAGATGAAACGCAACAACAACAACAACAACGACCCACTAAAATCCCACTAGTGGGGTCTGGGGAGGGTAGTGTATACGCAGACCTTACTCCTACCCGGAGGAGTAGAGAGGTTGTTTCCGAAAGACCATCGGCTTAAGAAGACGAAAAGAGACAATATCAGTACCACCAATAGAAATCATAAGAAAAATAACATCATGAAAATGAGAAAGCGGATGCAAAACAAAAGCAATAGACAATACATAGATCCGGCACTATGGAAAACGAAAGAGTAGTAAGACGCAACATTGCCACTAACTGACTTCGACAAAAACCTTACCAGACTAGCCTCACAGAGGTACGAAGGAAAGACTCAACTATCTCCTAACCTACAACCCTAAGGGTCTGTTTGGAAAGCCACCAGGTAATTGGAATTGGTGTAATTACTAGGGTAGTAATTACACAACCTAGTAATTACACAGTTGTGTAATTACGACGACCTGTTTATTTGTCATAGTGTAATTACAAGTTTACTGTTTGGTTGCACAAGTGTAATTACACAGTTAGATTAAATTTTAAATGAAGTAATTATCAAAACTTAAAAGTTAATATAATAAATATATGCCTATAAACTTTTATAAGTGTAAATGATATTATATTTGGTATTTAAGATGTATATTTTTTTCATGAATATACATTAATCAATAACCATATATTTATAATTAATAATTGAAAAAAATAATTTATATATATGTATTCTAAATTAATAGTATTTAGTTTAGATACTTACAAAACTAAACATAAGTTTTGTACGAACATCATGGAATTCATGTTTGATAAAATAAACTAATATATATAAATATAATGTCATAACATTATTCAAATGTTTGACAACACTAATCTATCGATTCTAACTAAAAAAAATGAACAATATGCAATGTGAGACAATACTACAAAAAGAAGTAAATTGGAACCATGAATATAGTTGTCACGACCCGAATTTCCCACCGTCGAGACCGTGATGGCGCCTAACATCGCACTCGCTAGGCAAGCCAACGTTAGAGTTCTATTCACCTTTTGCCTTCACATTTTATAAGTTAAAATTTAACCAAAACTAAATCAAACTGAAATAAGGGCGGAAGTACATAATTAATCGATTATCTATATACTATTAACAATACCGAAACTGTTACCACCCAGAAATTGGTGTCACAATCCACGAACATACTACGAATTACTACAAATACTGGTCTGAAGAAATTGCATCTGTCTCGAAAGAAAAGAAAACAGGAAAAGAGAAACATAGGAGGGAACGTCAGGGCCTGCGGAAGCCAGCAGGACTACCTTGGGTCTCCTAGATGAAGTATATGCAACCAACCTCTCGATCAGCCACTACCAACTCCTAAATCTGCACAGAAAGTGCAGAGTGCAGTAACAGTACAACCGACCCCATGTACTGTTAAGTGACGAGCCTAACCTCGATAAGGTAGTGACGAGGCTATGATGGGGCATTTACAATATTACCTTCATATAGTATATAATAAAGCAAAAAGGAAATACAGAACGAAATGGAACAGTAACTTGCAGCAAAATAAATACTGTTGATACCCAATTTTTCCCTATATATTTTTAATATGAATAAATACTTTCAAAATAGCATATATGTGCATATACAAGCATGCACAAGGTTTTTGTAATTTTTTTATAATTTTAAAGATTTTAAATTGATTTATCTCCTCCCCTTTTACTCATAAAATTCCCCAATAATTATCCCTCAAATTTGCGGTAACTAAGTCATCTAAATTCTACATTTATGCCAAAATATTGTTAAAATATTTTTAGTGCATTTTTATAATTGCATTTTATATTTTTAAAGCTAATTTGCATATAATTGCAATATTAGTCCTGTTAATGTATAATTACATATATATGCATAAAAATGATCTTCTATATTTTTTAAAATGTTAAATATCTATTTTAAATCATTTTAGTACACGGATTATTTTTTAAAAGTTATCTATTATTTATTATAAATTATATGGGGATAAATTGGCTATTTAAAATCTAGCCAAATTGCATTTCAATTTTAGCCTCAATTAAACCCAATACCCCAGCCCAATTTCGGATTAAATAACCCGACTCAGGCCCTATATGCACATACCCGACCCAAAACCCGTCAAATCCTAGCCGTTGATCTTTAGAACAACGACCCTCGTTCAGTCTTGCCTTTTTTATTCCAAACGACCGCCAACCCTAACCACTTTCCCACATCCGCCGCCCTAAGATTCTCTCCTCTCTCAAAACACTCTCAACCTAACCCTAGTCTTCAACCGTCGACTTCCCATCTCCGGCTATCTCCGATGACCTCTCATCGTCTCTTGAACCTCCAATGGCTTCTCTCATGCCATGCTTGCCTTCTCTAAGGTATTCAAGGGCCCAGGGCCATGCCAACTTGCATCTAGGGTTCGTCACTTGCCTGTTCATGGCTACTCCAGTGTGATTTCAAGCAAAATCACGCTGTATTTGCAACGATCCATGGGTTTTCTAAGCAGGTTCTTCATCTCTATATGGGTTTCTTTCGAAACCCTAATTTCTTTTCTATACCTCCTAGATCTGTACAAATCTAGGACGGTTTGAGTTTGTTTCTTTAATATTTTACACTGTCCTTGGAACTCTTTACAAGAATCGTTGATTTCAAGTGTTTTTCACCTTCTTCTAAAAATTAGGGTTTCGAAACTTCTTTTAAAACCTTGCTTAACTGATTCTTTGTGTTTAAACTTCTATTTCTTGCGTATTCTGACTGATTCTATGATTTTACTACATTTTTAACTCGTCTATGTTGAAAGACCTAATTTTCCAGGTTTCTTCGTTTGATTTTTGTGACTGGCCGGTTCTCGTTTGAGTTTCTGTGACTATCTCGCCTCGAATATGTTTCTACTGAGTTTCTTAGCCTAGCTTACATCAACTCTATGTGTTTGTGTTCATCTTGACTGTTCAAGACTTGCCTCTTTGCTTGCTATGTCTGGTTATTCTTATCTTACTCTATTTATATGCTAAACACTGACTCATGACTTTCTCTTTGATTGATTCTGAATCCC